GCATATCATTGACTGCTTTAACCACTTCCAGTCCGGACACTTTCCCCCCCCCCTTCCAGACCGGACACTTTCCCCCCCCATTCCAGTCCGGACACTTTCACCCCCCTTCCAGTCCGGACACTTTCCCCCCCTTCCAGTCCGGACACTGCGGACCCCCCCTTCCAGGATCCGGACACTTTCCCCCCCTTCCAGTCTTGACACTTTCCCCCCCTTCCAGATCTTGACACTTTCCCCCCCTTCCAGTCTTGACACTTTCACCCCCTTCCAGTCTCGACACTTTCCCCCCCTTCCAGTCCGAACACTTTCACCCCCTTCCAGTCCGGACACTTGACCCCCCCCTTCCAGTCTTGACACTTTCCCCCCCTTCCAGTCTTGACACTTTCCCCCCCCTTCCCAGTCCGGACACTTTCACCCCCCTTCCAGTCCGGACACTTTCCCCCCCTTCCAGTCTCGACGCTTTCCCCCCCTTCCAGTCTCGACGCTTTCACCCCCTTCCAGTCTCGACGCTTTCACCCCTTCCAGTCCGGACGCTTTCACCCCCCTTCCGTCCGGTCCCGGACACTTTCCCCCCCTTCCTGTCCAGGCCAATTTTCAGCTTTCAGTGCTATCACACTTTGAATGACAATTGCGCGCTGTCATGCAACACTGTACCCATATGAATTTTTTTAGCATTTTTTTGAGACAGATAAAATTTTATTTTGGTGGTATTTATTCACCGCTGGGATTTTTATTTTTTTTGCTTTATAAAAAAAAAGTCCAAACATTTTGCAAATAAATAACTATCTTTGTAAATCTTGGCCAAAAAATATATACAGCATCTTCTTAGAAAAAAAAACAAATAACCCAAATTTAGTTTATAACTAAAGATTGTTTTTTAAAAAATTTTTTTACATTTAATTTTTTTTTTAATATTATTATTTGTTTTTTTTTTTTTTTGTAACGTACTGTCACCCTAGCAGTACAGTGTCACACACAAGGTTGTCCCGCAGGACTGTTCCAACACAGTATATAATGTGCTAACTATGTGTGTACCTGTACAATTATCATGTCACATCATTAAATATTAATAGCGTTGATCCTTATAAAGCAAAAAAATAAAAAAAATAAAAATAGAAAAAAGTTTTTAGTTAACTTTTACTTAACTTTCTCTGTGCTCATATGCATCACTCAGCACCTAGCCAGGTGAAGCCGGCACCAGGCCTGGGGTACCCAACCAGGCATCCCATAGTTTCATACATTTGCCAGCATTCCCCTTGTGTTGATAAACTAGTTTTTCTCGGTGTTGCATATCATTGACTGCTTTAACCACTTCCAGTCCGGACACTTTCCCCCCCTTCCAGTCCGGACACTTTCCCCCCCTTCCAGTCCGGACACTTTCACCCCCCTTCCAGTCCGGACACTTTCCCCCCCTTCCAGTCCGGACACTTTCCCCCCCTTCCAGTCCGGACACTTTCCCCCCCCTTTCCCCCCCTTGACACTTTTCCCCCCCTTCCAGTCTTGACACTTTCCCCCCCTTCCAGTCCTTGACACTTTCACCCCCCTTCCAGTCCGGACACTTTCACCCCCTTCCAGTCCGGACACTTTCCCCCCCTTCCAGTCTCCACACTTTCCCCCCCTTCCAGTCTCGACACTTTCACCCCCCTTCCAGTCCGGACGCTTTCCCCCCCTTCCGGTCCGGACACTTTCCCCCCCTTCCACTCCGGACACTTTCACCCCCCTTCCTGTCCAGGCCAATTTTCAGCTTTCCAGTGCTATCACACTTTGAATGACAATTGCGCGGTCATGCAACACTGTACCCATATGAATTTTTTAGCATTTTTTTGAGACAGATAAAATTTTATTTTTGGTGGTATTTATTCACCGCTGGGATTTTATTTTTTTTGCTTTATAAATAAAAAATGTCAAACATTTTGAAAAAAAAAAATGTTTTTCTTATTTTGCAAAATAAATAATCTATCTTTGTAAATCTTGGCCAAAATATATACAGCTATCTTCTTAGAAAAAAAAAAAACAAATAACCCAAATTTAGTTTATAACTAAAGATTGTTTTTTAAAAAAAATTTTTTACATTTTAATTTTTTTTTTAATATTATTATTTGTTTTTTTTTTTTTTTGTAACGTACTGTCACCCTAGCAGTACAGTGTCATTATGGTGACACTACTACTTGTGGGGGGTGATGAAGTTTTTTTTTTCCACTGATTGCTTTTACACGACCCATAAAGGCTGTAAAAGCAATCATTTCTCCTTCTCTCCGGCTGCATTCCTGCAGCCAGAGAGAAATACTATGTTAGCTGTGATTGGTCACAGCTTGTCACATGGTACAAGGCTGTTGTGAATGGCCCTCTACTATGTGATCTCTGTGATCATTCACAGATTTCACATGTAGTAAGCAATGATGTCAGAAGTGATCACTTCATGTGATCACTGATTGGTTAATTAGTGATCAGATGATTGGTACCTCACAGAGAGGTCCGGTATGATGATCGGAGTTCCGCTGTGTCCTCCGGACACAGTGAGCACCAGATTGCAGTGCTGCATGCTCCCAGGAAGCGCACACAGGTAGTGAATGTGGAGCTGTATATGTGAGGGGGTTCAACAGTCTCCTCATCTAACCACCCCAACAGACAAAGTTTGGGGTCTACACAGAGAGCGAGAGTGAAGATAATATTGATCAACTTTATTACAAAGGTCCAATAGCACACCAGTTTAGGGCATTTCCACAGCATATGTAACAGGGTACTGTTTTCTACAGCACAATATGGGCACAGGGGAGTATCCTTCCTGTGCAAATCAAATAGTTCCTGGAGGTTGCGATAAGTGCGATGGACAATGAAAAGGTGGGTAAGCTTTTGTGATGAAGACACAGATACCAATAAGATATTAGAAAGAATTGTGGACTACTCTTCGCCAGAGATATACTCCACATCTCTGGACCACTGCAGTCTACATTTAAGGGACATAGCCCTGGACACCAATTGAATCAATGCACTGTTATAGTGAGGAGATCTGTCCCCTTTTTGGTTGGAGAGCGCACTAATCGACTAAGAAGAATGGGATTAACCAAGACCCACGAGGAAGCCCTGGCCTGTGTCAAGATGGCATGTCTAAGTTGCAAATATTTGAAAAAAAGATGGAGTTGGGCAAGTCAAACTCCGCACCTAAAGTTTGAAAGTCTTTCATCAATTGCCCATGGTACAGCTGAGGGACATATTTCAGACCTGCAGCTGTAATTATGGTTATTAAGGATACTGTACGTGTAAATGTGGTAAAGCCTTGATATCGGAAGTAATGTTTTGCTTTGCACCACACCCTGTCAATCATTTCTAGTGTAGGAAACTGTGCCAGGGCTTTAAACTCACTTGCTTCCAGGCATTCCACCAAATTATCTGTGGACACAATCCCTAGAAGAAGCGAGCTGACCAGGTCTGGGTGTGTATCGGGGCAGACTGACCATTTGGAAACTCGGGCACTGCCCAAGGGCATGGGGTCAGTAGGGGGCCACATGAGATGCCCTTAGTACCTTTTTCATAGGCTTTTTTGAGTTTGGGCAAGGACACAGGGGCCCAGGGGAGGACTGACCATTTGGAAACTTGAGAAGAACTTGGGCACTGCTCGAGGGCCCGGGGTCAGTAGGGGGCCCCATGAGATGCCCCTGGTACCTTTTTCATAGGCTTTTTTGAGTTTGGGCAAGGACACAGGGGCCCCATGATCCCCTATTGTCCAGGGGCCCCATGAGTTGTCAGTCCGCCCCTGCAGGGGCCCCATGATCCCCTATTGCCCGGGGGCCCCATGAGTTGTCAGTCCGCCCCTGTTGTGTATTGTCTTGATAGGCTGTAAAATCTTGTAGTTGGGCCACAATATAATAAAGAAAGGGGTTGAGAACCTCAAGGCCGCCCGTATCCTTAGCTTCCTGTAGAGTCTCTAGTTTAATCCAAGGTGTGTGCATCCGCCAGATTAAGGAGTGAAACACCGTATCAAATTGTTTAAAAATCTGTATAGGAATCCACACAGGGGCATTATGCAGGATATAGGGTAATTGAGGGGCCCATATCATTTTGATTAACCCCTTGACCTCGGCGTCACACAAATATGGGGCCCCACAGAAGCACGCACAGTATGCTCCCAGCACAAAAAACGCAGTGTCACTGAGAGCCCCAGGTCCTGTTCTAACTAACGGGACCCAGGACTCCTGATTCCGGGTCACATGATCGCTGTGATAGCCTCTGATTGGCTATCACAGTGATCAGTCACTGTACAGCCCGGCCCCCTTGTTTTTTTCTCTCTCTATGAATGGAGGAGATAGATACATTGTATCATTATATACATTCCATTAGACATTGTATCATTATATACATTCTATTATACATTGTATCTGTCAGGGCTCCAGGTATGACCAGAGATGTGTGGACTGACACAGGGAAATGCAGACTTCAAGTATGGTGTAAAAGTAATATAATTTATTTAAGGTACACAATACACAGAGCACACAGTGCAAAACCAAACCAAACCTTAAGTTAATCTCAATATGTGCGGGAACACAAGCGTAGTCAGGCAGGCTGGGTCGGTAACTATCGGCCAGGTAGGTACAGGAGGAGCAGGCAGAAAGTAGTCATTTAAAGAGCCAGGGGTCAGTGCAGGATACAGTCACAAGGATCACAGCAGGGTCGGCAACAAAGGGTACTTCACAGAACAGAGGATCAGGCACAGGTAACAAGATACAGGGGCTCATGGGAAACAAACACCACGGCACTGATCACAGGCCTGGTCCTGCTTAAATACACCTCCTGCAATCGGCTTCAGGTGATGGCTTGATTGCAGTGAGATTCTGGCTGCTGAGAGCACCCGCTGGCCAGCATTGGTACTGCAGACCACAAGGCAGGTGAGTCCCACCACCATTGGCAAGTCCATTCCTGACAGTACCCCCCCCCCCTCAAGGAGTGGCCTCAGGATGCTCCAAACAGTCCGTAATAGCCCAAATGTTCCACCGCCTGGGTCTGGCAACTGGCTGGACATCCCACTGCCGGAATCAAGTAATTGGCTGGGTCTCCTGCTAATAGGCCTATCTTTTTTAAGGAGACCGCAGGAAAGGTGGTTGCTGGACACAGGATTTCAAGAAGCAGGCTGGGCCTCAGGAGCCGGTACATCAGGCTGGGCAGCGGGCGGAGGCACGTCAGGCTTGGCAGCAGGCAGAGGCACGTCAGGCTGGGCAGCAGGCAGAGGCACGTCAGGCTGGGGCACTGAGCCATCAGGCGGAGCAGCGGGCACCGAGCCATCAGGCGGAGCAGCGGGCACTGGCCATCAGGCGGGGCAGCAGGCACCGGGCCATCAGGCGAGGCAGGGGGTACCCGACATCAGGCGAGGCAGCGGGGCACCGAGTCATCTGGCAGAACAGCGGGCACCGAGTCATCTGGCACGACAGCGGGCACCGAGTCATCTGGCACGACAGCGGGCACTGAGTCATCTGGCACAACCGTGGGCACCGAGTCATCTGCACTGAGTTATCTGGCACAACAGTGGGCACCAAGTCATCTGACAGAACAGCGGGCACCGAGTCATCTGACAGAACAGCGGGCTCCGAGGCGTCAGGCTGGATCGGGTCATCAGACTGGATCGGTCATCAGGCTGGATCACGAACACCGGGTCATCAGGCTGGATCGGGTCATCAGGCTGGATCACGAACACCGGGTCATCAGGCTGGATCGGGTCATCAGGCTGGATCGGGTCATCAGGCTGGGTGGGGGAACATCAGACTGGGTAGGAACATCAAGCTGGATTATGAACACCAGGTCATCAGGCTGGATCGTGTCATCAGGTCGAATCAGGTCATCAGGCATCAGGGCATCAGGCTGAACAACGGAAGGCAGGTTCTCAGACGGCAGGCTGACCGGTTTGGATACTGGTAGGATGGTGCTGGTTGGAAAGAATTTTCGCTTCTTCTTGGGTTTAGTTACTGAAACACTGCAAGTAAATGCAGGTCTGTAAACGGATGGAGCAGCTGAGGACAGAGAAGAGCTGGAGGATGGAACAAAGGAGGGAGCAGTTGTTACAGAGGACTTCTTTACAGGAATAAAGGCAGGATAGGTGCAGCGAGTGGGAACAGGGGACTGACATGTGGTAGATAGCAGGGTATACTGGGCTGTCACTGGGGGTGCTCTGGGGAATGGAGGAAGAGAGCTCTGAGCAGAGGAATAATTAGAAGCAGGACGGGGTTGTTGCAAGCTGACTGAGCTGGGTGTAACAAATCTGCCTAGGACTGTAGTATTGGTTGAACAAAGCTCAGCTGACACATAGCCTGTCTGACCAAAGACTGCACTGCGTTTATACAGTCCACTAGCACATGTTGTGAACATGCAGAATAAAGCTCCAAGAAGCAATCCGGATCATCCCCCAACAACCATACCAGTGATTCTACTTGATCCAAACTGAATGGCGGCGAAAAGTCATCCCTGCTTTCAGGAGTACTGGACAGAGCCAACTCAGCACAAACCTGGATCAATGGCTGCACTTCAAAAAACAACCTGCCCTGATCTACTAGGGAATGAGCAACCCGCATGCACTCTAGCAGCTGATCCCTGGCATACTTCTTCAGAATCTGATAGCAGTATTCTCTGTCTTCCAAGACTAGCAGAGACAGGTACTCAACTCACAAACAACAAGCCAAGATGGCTTCCCTGTGCAGCCACGTCTGGTCAGGAATAGCCTTGGTGTTATGTCAGGGGCTCATGGGAAACAAACACCAAGGCACTGATCACAGGCCTGGCCCTGCTTAAATACACCTCCTGCAATCAGCCTCAGGTGATGGCTTGATTGCAGGAGTGAGAATCTGGCTGCTGAGAGCACCCACTGGCAAGCCTTGGTACTGCAGCTCACAAGGCAGGTGAGTCCCAACACCATTGGCGAAACCATTCCTGACAGTATCATTATATACATCCTGTTATACAGTGTATCATTATATATATCATATTATACATTGTATCATTATATACATTCTATTATACATTGTATCGTTATATACATCCTATTATACATTGTATCGTTTATATACATCCTATTATACATTGTATCGTTATATACATTCTATTATACATTGTATCGTTATATACATTCTATTATACATTGTATCATTATATACATAGTGTTATACATTGTATCATTATGTACATTCCATTATACATTGTATCATTATATACATTCTATTATACATTCTATTATGTTGTACATCCCATTATACATTGTATCATTATATACATTCCATTATACATTGTATCAATATATACATCATATTATACATTGTATCATTATATACATTCTATTATACATTGTATCATTATATACATTCCTATTATACATTGTATCATTATATACATCCTATTATACATTGTATCATTATATACATCCTATTATACATTGTATCATTATATACATTCCATTATACATTGTATCATTATATACATCCTATTATACATTGTATCATTATATACATTCCATTATACATTGTATCATTATATACATTCCATTATACATTGTATCATTATATACATTCCATTATACATTGTATCATTATATACATCCCATTATACATTGTATCATTATATACATCCCATTATACATTGTATCATTATATACATTCTATTATACATTGTATCATTATATACATCCTATTATACATTGTATCATTATATACATTCCATTATACATTGTATCATTATACACATTCCATTATACATTGTATCATTATATACATCCATTATAACATTGTATCATTATATACATCCCATTATACATTGTATCATTATATACATCCCATTATACATTGTATCATTATATACATTCTATTATACATTGTATCATTATATACATCCTATTATACATTGTATCATTATATACATTCCATTATACATTGTATCATTATATACATCCCATTATACATTGTATCATTATATACATTCTATTATACATTGTATCATTATATACATTCATTATACATTGTATCATTATATACATCCCATTATACATTGTATCATTATATACATTCCATTATCATTGTATCATTATATACATCCTATTATACATTGTATCATTATATACATCATAGTATACATTGTATCATTATATACATTCCATTATTCATTGTATCATTATATACATCCCATTATACATTGTATCATTATATACATCCTATATACATTGTATCATTATATACATCCTATTATACATTGTATCATTATATACATTCCATTATACATTGTATCATTATATACATCCTATTATACATTGTATCATTATATACATCCATATACATTGTATCATTATATACATTCCATTATACATTGTATCATTATATACATTTTAGTATATATTGTATCTCTCTAACTCCTGGCATAGAGGGAAAAAAAATGTTTGTAAAAAAAAAAGATAAATAAATAAATATTAAAAAATAAAGACAAAATACCTAGATCAAGGTTTGATCTAGTTCAGTGCCAGGGTTAGTGATGGAGTCAAGGTCAGGGTCAAAGATCATGATTTAAAAAACAATTGGTGTCAGTAAGGGCTCGTTCACACTTGGCTGTTTTACCAACGCTTGCCAAACGCCCCTATAGTGTTTGGCAAGCGTTGGTCCGGCGTTTGCGGAGCGTTTTTTAACGCTCCGCAAACGCTCCGCAAACACCGCATGCGTGGTTTAGCGGCGGTTGCTAGGCGTTTGCAGAGCGTTAAAAATGCCCCTCAAACACCTATAATGATGTTTGAATGGTGTTAACGCTCCGCAAATGCTCCGCAACCGCGTCGCATCCGCACCGCAAACGCCGGCCAGGCATTTGCGGAGCGGCACCATAGACTAGAACAGGAGGCTTCAACGCCTCCTGACTTGACCAGAGGCGTCCGTTTTTTTTTGCCGTGACGCGACGCGATGCAAACGCTCCCGTTAGAACAGCACCATGTGCTGCAATGTGCAGAATTGGCAGAGGCCTCTCTGCCGCCTGCACACAACGCTAGTGTGAACGTAGCCTTAGTGTCAGTGTGTTTTAGGTAAAAAAAAAAAGACAAAAACAAAATGCGCACTATTGTTTCTGGGCGGTACTGCGGGTACAAACAACAAATAACACACACATATATAGTATCGCTGCGATCGTCAAGAGCTGAAGAATTTATTTTGGGTTGTTTTTTGGTGGTAGGTTATGGCAGTAACAAGAAACACAGCTAAATAAAAAAAGAAATATTTTTTTTACTATTTTGGATCAGTTTTGCTTTGATAATAAAAAAAAATCAGGAGATATCCATTACCATTTACCACCAAATGAAAGCCCAATTTGTCCTGAGAAAAACGCGGTATAATTCACCCGGATGTACAAAGTAGTTGTGATGATGCGGACGGTTTTTAGTGACACAGGTCAGCGTTGCAAAATTGTGCTTAGGCATTTAGATTTGTTTTACCCGGGGGGCATGAAGGGGTTAAGTTATACCTCCCTATCACGGAAAGAAGGAGTTTGGTCCAACTGGTTGTTTTTTGTTGGAATTTTTTAAATAGCATAAGTAAGTTTTGTATATTCCAATAAGTGGAGTGAATGATGGTACCCAGATTTTTAACCCCTCGCCTACCGGGTACTTTCACCCCCCTTCCAGTCTGGACACTTTTCCCCCCTTCCAGTCCCCCGGACACTTTGCCCCCCTTCCAGTCCGGACACTTTCCCCCCCTTCCAGTCCGGACACTTTCCCCCCTTCCAGTCCGGACACTTCCCCCCCTTCCAGTCCGGACACTTCCCCCCCCCTTCCAGTCCGGACACTTCCCCCCCCCTTCCAGTCCTGGCACTTTCACCCCCTTCCAGTCCGGACACTTTTCACCCCCTTCCAGTCCGGACACTTTCACCCCCTTCCAGTCCGGACACTTTCCCCCCCCTTCCAGTCCGGACACTTTCCCCCCTTCCAGTCCGGACACTTTCCCCCCCTTCCAGTCCGGACACTTTCCCCCCTTCCAGTCCTGGCACTTTCACCCTCTTCCAGTCCGGACACTTCCCCCCCCCCTTCCAGTCCTGCACTTTCCCCCCCTTTCCAGTCCTGGCACTTTCCCCCCCTCTTCCAGTCCTGGCACTTTCCCCCCCTTCCAGTCCTGGCACTTTCACCCCCTTCCAGTCCGGACACTTCCCCCCCCCTTCCAGTCCGGACACTTTCCCCCCTTCCAGTCCGGACACTTTCCCCCCCTCCCAGTCCGGACACTTTCCCCCCTTCCAGTCCGGACACTTTCACCCCCTTCCAGTCCCGGACACTTTCACACCCCCTTCCAGTCCGGACACTTTCCCCCCCTTCCAGTCCGGACACTTTCCCCCCCTTCCAGTCCCGGACACTTTCCCCCCCCCTTCCAGTCCGGACAACCTTCACCCCCTTCCAGTCCGGACACTTTAACCCCCTTTCAGTCCGGACACTTTCCCCCCCCTTCCAGTCCGGACACTTTCACCCCCTTCCAGTCCGGACACTTTCACCCCTTCCAGTCTGGACACTTTAAACCCCCTTCCA